TCAGTGGGGAAAGGTCCTACGACTCCACCTGGGGAGCGACACTGAGTTGCTCCAATCAGATACCTCTGAGTGGCTTTCAGGACTTGTGCTGAGTCTGCCTGGTCTCGGTCAGGGCAGTTTGCTCCTTTGGCCAAAACAGAACCACAGACCAACTTGCTTTCTAGGAAACCTCACGGGCCCCTGCCTGTGAAGCTCCCAGGCTATCATTTTTCTACATCTTTTACCAGCATCTCCCCTTCTCCAAGCTCCTAAGGAGAAGCTTCCCTGATGTCCAAGTTACCACCAAATTACTTTATCTTGGGGTGAATTGTGCCCACAGGTTGAAGCTCAGTTGCCTTTCTCTTGGTTGCTGATAAAATCCCTATGGAAAGGATTGGTTGCTGTTCCTTATAAGACCCCAGGGCGCAGACAGTGTGGGTGGTGGCGGGGTGCGTATGTGATGCACCCCTCAAGGCACAGGTGCGCAGACGTTTCTAACCTCAGCAGCTCCCCTTGTCCTTCCACTTGGCCTGCTGACCCTGATTCCCTCCTGAGTGATCTCAGAAGCCACACTGCCCCCTTGTCATGTTTTATCCACGGGGGCAGAATCCACTACCTCTCCCTGCCCCCCTGTCCCAGACATGCTAAGAAGGATGGTCAGACTCCACATGGGACTAGGGTGACCAACCACTCTGGTTTCAGCACCAAAAGGTCCGCATCCCAAGAAACCCATTAGTCCCGGGCAAAAGGGGCTGGCTGGTCACCCACCGACGGGCCCCTCCCTGCGCTGAGGATTAATAAACCTCCTCAAGGTTATTTCCTTTCTTCACTCTTTTTTTATGGAAAAGGCAGAGATGAGTGAAATTGGGGTCCACGGTTCTGCACCTGCTCTCTGAATGTTGTTTCGGTTCTTGAATCACAAAAAATGTCTTAGGGAAGGACTGACACAGAGTTCATGAGAACCAGCTCACAAGAAGGAGGCATAGCTTTGAGACAACTGGTAAGCTTTGTTTAATGCCCCTGAAGGCGATAGGACCCGCTATTAAATGCATATGTGCACACACAGATACATAAATACAACAGGACCTCTTCCCTGTGAAAGGCTTCTTTTCCCGGGAGCTTAGCAAGCATATCTGCTTATGTGAAATAGTATTTCTCAGTGGCAGGTCTACCATCTTAAAGGGCAACTTGGATGCAACAGGGATCCACAGATTATAATATAGGTGAGAAAATGAGATCTTCCCATATCACTGGACTATATCTTCTGCACTCTCTGGACAAGCTTCTGTGGGCCAGTCTACGCCTGGTGTCTGTAGAGGTCACATGCACCCCGGGCTGGGGACAGGACAGCAATTGTGGGGACAGGAGCCTTTGCTATTGTCTGCATGGTCTCCTTTGCAGAAATGGACTCATGAGCAAGCTTTCCTGACTCTCTGGACCAGGGCTGGGATGATGTAGGAGATGCTCCCAAGGCCCGTCCATGGTGGTGGTTCCCAGGAGAGGACCAGCTTTGTTCTGCTTAGACAGCTGCTAGCCTGGCACCACTTCAGTCCCTGGCTCCTGGGAACCCAGGTAACAGAGCAGGTGCATGAAGACTCAGAGGGAGGAGGCTTCAAGCTTATCCGAGGGAAGAGGGGGCCCGTGTCTTGCCCTCTTCTCTGAGAAGGCCACCACCTTCCAGGAAGCCTGCAGTGTCCAGGAGAGATGCTCCCGGAGGAGGAGCAGGTTGGCCCTGACGCTCCCTGGGGCGGTGGATGCGGCAACCGGACCCCCGATGTCCAGGATAAAGGGGGGCCCCCTGTGCTGCTTCTCAACCTGACTCTCCGGCCTGCAGGGCTGGCCAGGTGGAGGCCCCGCAGCCCCCCACGCAGCTCACGATCAGCAGCAGGAAAGCAAGAGATAAAAACCAACTTCTTCACCTGACACCCAAGGATGCGTTTGTAGAAAAAGCCATTCCTTCTGCGATTCCACTTCCTCTCCCCAACATGGGCTTTTCTGCTGCTAACCTGCTCTTTCCTGAGAAAAGTGCTGT